CAACCGGTTAGCAGAAAAGGTTGGCAGCAAAGATCGGACTTCAAGTAAACATGAAGACGACAGAGATAATAAAAGTAGCTAATAAATAACAACAATCAGTAATCACCATCATTTATTTGTTCTGCACCGTTTCAAGTATAGTCGGCAAAGTATCGGAAATGTAAGACATACCCTCGAAAGGAACCTGAATTAGAAATGACGTGTTTGGCGGCCTTCGAGAGTGACATGGAGGCGAGATGAAGACAATTGGGCAGGCCTAGAGTTAGCTAAAATAAACTGCAAAGGTCAGAATGAAATGAAGAGACGTGCTGTTGAATCCATATTTTCCACTCAGAACCCACCGGAAGAATAATTCCATTAATTTTCTACAGAGAATGCAAAGAATGACCTCTTCATCTTTAGATAGACCGAAATATTCTAAGTATCCTACTTTATATATTACTCAACCTCATATGGCCAGACTGCAAAAGATGCATAGAATTAAACAGTATTTTTAAGTATTGGTCTGTAGGGATTTGATTGACTGGTTACAGGATTTCATCATCAGCTGATATCGGTTAGAGAACCACTGGATACTCAGCTGGGAGTACTGAACAGCCAGCTATTTCGTCAGCCGTGTTCGGGACTCTTCATCAGTACGTGTCCACTGCCAGGGGTCGAACCCAGGACCTCCTGGTTACAAGGCGAGCTAGTTTGTTAACCATTAAGCCACTGGGAGCTAATCCAATGGCAAGCCTATGAATTCTCACTTCTGTAAATTCACAACGTAGTGCGACTCCTAGGCAATGTCTTCGGAGATTATTTGTCCTCACACCCGACATACTGCAGTAATTGATTAGCATGGCAATAGCAAATACTGAACTACTGACTCTATTCTCTATTTTTGCATAAGAGTTTACTGTGAAATGGTCGAATGTAGTCGGCGAAAAGACTTGACCTCAGTCTCCTGCTTACTGGCACTGATTAGTCAGCAATTTGTATCTGCAGTCTTTAAAGGATTTCTATCATTTTTGAGATTCGAATCCTAGATCACCAAGTGCTTTAGTCAGAAACGTACCTACTGAGTGAACTTTGATGGTGAGGTGCCTGGCATAGCGCTACAATGCACACACTTGACTGATAGAATTCATTCTGTAATGATAACTGTTGAGTGTATACTTATATGCTTAGACTGAAATGTCACTTTATTACACATTTACCGCCTGTTATTCTTACAATTCGCCTACAGGTGTAATTGGGTTTCAGATAATGAAAGGAAAAATCCATCTGGTAAAACTACTGACAGAGATATTTAACCTCAATTTCTAAATGTTTGCTTTGACCACCTGTTTTACTCCACTGGCTTCATAAATAAATTTTAAAAATTCATCCCAATTTATCCTAATACACATTTTCACGCATTTGTACATCATATTTTTGCTCGTATATGTGCTTCGCTTTAAAACTAATCCAAGAACAGAATATAACCAAAATCAATAAGGTCCTGGGGTTTTTTTTTCACAAAAATCTAAATAGGTCAGCTGACAACGTAAATGTCAGATGTATGCTAGAAGTGTGACTTCACTTAAACAGATGACATTTCTGTTGTATGAAGAAAAAAGCCCAGTGCTTCACAACACAACAAATCAAATTATTTATTATGCGTAGACGTTTAAAAATAGTTTAGCGGGCTTAACATTTTGAATTTCTATTTGATCAGTTAATCATTGACAATTTATTAAAGTAGTATGTATATGTGTATATAAATAAATTCAGTAAATTTAATTTTTGGAGGGGAAATTTCCCCTCATATTTTTATAGATTTAACTTCAAATATACAATCTAAACTAAAATTCGTTTATAAATTATTTAAATTAATCGCAGTGTGTTAAGAAAATCAAAACAAGATTTTTTGAACGTTTCGCTGTGTAAGCCGCAGCTTCTTCAGCAGATTTATTCGGATCAACAAAAATCCAACAGTGGACAGCTGTTTCATCCTAGTGCTTGAAAATCATCGTCAGTACACACTCATTGCGGTTTGGTTCCCAGTGATCAGTAAGGTCCATCCAGTCAAGTGCGTGAGGATGGATGTCCCACCGATGACACATTGGTTGGTGCCAGTCACGCTAAATCACGAATTGGTAGAAGTTAGAATTCATGCGCTGGCCACTGAATCAGATTGAGTCCCAGTGGCTGAATTGTATACGACTTTGACTTGTAACCAGGAGGTTGTGGATTCGAACTCTTATGGTTGGTGCGTACTGTTGATGATTCCCAAGCACCAGGATGAAACGGCTGCCCAGTTTTCCAGTTCCGGTTTTCATTGTGGTACTCTAACTGATATCAATCCATAAGCAACTCTTCAAAACATTCTTTTCGATGAATTCGTCGTCAGCTACGACATTTATGTGACCATATTAAAAAAATGTCATCAATAACAGTATTATTGCTGTTTTAAATTAATTTACATGAGTAGTCTCAACAGATTACTTTTGAAAAGCAGAACCAGTAATAGAGAGTTGATATGTATTAACATAACACCAACTAAACTGACTGAAAATCAAATTAATTAAGGGAGGCAACACACAGAATTTATAGTTTCGACAGCAGGCTAGGGTAACAATAGTGACTAGACATGTTCAATTGATTTAGGCGAATTACAATAACCTCTTCTGTTTGTAGGGTTCATTACTTGGTGGCCTATGGTTACTTAATCGACACCCGATAGATGATAGAGAAAGACTGTTCAGTGCTAGCTAGCTTTGTGATCTGCTAGGGCTAGGTGGTCTAACTGACGTCGAAATGTGTTGATGGTTTTAACAACACCTTTATTAAACCACAATGATAGGCGTTCCCGATCATGAACAACTAAGTTCCCTGTACATCAGCTAATATAAATGGCTGGACAGGAGCAGATAAATAGCTAAATAGAATTATAGGGGAATAGATTGACCTTAAGCTTACCGATGTTTAACGTTCTTGCATTTTTTTGTTTACTTAATGGATGTTATTCCTCTTGGTACGGCATCCCTACATTGTTGTTGTTGATATAGAGAATCGTTCTCAAATTATAAAGAAGAATTCGTTTCTACCATCTTGATCACATGTTTTTGGTGATGAACTGCCGTTTAGAGTAGCTGTTTTCAATTAATATGTAGTAACCTTACCTAAAGATGGTTTCTAATACAAGGAATATGAAGTATATTACTTTCTTAAGGGGTTCAATCTTCCGTAGAATACGATGCAGTCACTAAGGTTTACTTGAAAAATGTAACACTAGAAATCCAGCTGTAAACCTGGTGGGAGTAAGTGCCTGAGTTGCTAAGTAACAAAAATGGAACTTCATAGTTATCGTGTCCTCCTCAGCCTACTTTCAGCTGCCTGAACGAGTGATAACAACATATTTTTACTTTATCCTTACATGATCTATTCAGTGTTTTTTTCTTAGGCAATTCACCTGCCGGCTCCCATTCGGGCTACAATCAAGGGTCCAATTAGCGTATGATGGATGTCACGTGATGTCTCCTTATTTTATCAAGACGGATTCTTTGAAAAGCTTGTATTTTTGCTTGAGAATTTATTTAACAACTAACGCTGAATACTGTGGTTATCTGTGATAAGAAGTATTTTCTGGGCTGGTTAGTTTAGTTGCAGAGTTTTCGTCGTCCCCCTTCTGGATAACAACTTCAGTGAAATTTTTAGCATAAAGTGAACTGATTTAAATTTTCCATGGGTGATAGAATTGCGTCTCATGGTGGCTGACCATCTTTACATATATGTATTGATCATTTTTTGTTGACTTGGGATTTGAACTGTCTTGTCGTGTGATTGGCTTTTTATTAGCTGGCAAATTTGATCTATATTAATAGCTCATTCACTTGAGTACTAGGCTTTTAGGAATTCTCTGGCACTTTTGGTCTTTCCTCTGTCTAAAATTTAGACGCTGTCCCAACCGTCAGATTGATGTCCATAATTATCTACATGTATTGATTGATATGAAAGAGTATATATCATGTCTTTTGATTTTTGATTTTTTGATTTTTGATTACAGCTTGATTCCACACTGTATTTTTGGTACAAGTATGGAATTTTCAGCGTGGATATCGGTAGCCCAAATTTCGCAGGCCGACCATAGATATCAGGTGTGCGTCGGTGTGTGCTCGAACCCCGGACCATGTGCATGGTTGGCGAGAGTCCTAACCACTGTGTCTTTTCACAGATGATTTGTGTTTTTGGATTCTGATTCTAAGGGGACGCCCACTCTGGGTATTAGTTTTATCTCCTTTTTCTGCTGGATCTTTCGGTTTCCACATTATCAAATGAAGTGATTGTATTGACTGGCTGGCTTATGTGCTATATCTACGTTAAACGGTTTCAGTATTCTAGCTGTTATTTCAGAGATATTTTTTATATATGGTCGAGTGAATTTTCTTATCATCCTTGATGATGGTTTCGTGTTGGTGTCATGACTCAATTTTAAACACTTTCTGATCAAATTGTGAGGAGGATATCCATTCTTTTTTGAAGACAGTTATTAGGCATTTTTCTTCCATTCTTTTTAACGCTAGAGTGCTCCAGTGTATTTGAATTCTTTTAAACAATGTCTGCAGTCAGGTTCTCTTATGAGAAATTGGATTACTGCTAGTATAGTTGAGTATTTGCTTTGTGTGCATTGATTTTCTGCATATACTTGTGTTTCTTAATTTTCTGTGTGATGATTCTCCTGATTAAGCCATCTAACGATGGGATTTTGTTATCGAATTCTTCTTCTCATGTGGTGAATTTGATGTCTTCAAATTACGTTGTTTATTAATTTATGGATATATTGTAAATCATCTCTCTTAATTATTACACAAATGTATCGTCAACGTAACGTACTGTGGAAATCTTTTATAGACTTTTTCTGACTTTCAACAATTATTCATTTAAAAAATTTAATTTTTTAAATAGTCACTTTATTGAAAATTTCATCTCACTTCTTTATTGCTGTTTTGTTTTTGTTTTCTTTTCATTCCATACAGATACTGATGTGACACACTTGAGGTATACCGACTTGGATGAAATGTATGCAACAGGTAGGCTGTCATATTCTATTTAATATAAATTTATATCTATCTGAATGTTGATAAATGAATCGATTGAAATAAGTGCCTAACTATCTAGATTGTGTGATAAAGAATGTGTATTTTGCTTCCATCCTCTTTATGTACAGTTAGTTATTAGTGCTTTTCATCGCCGCCTTACGTTTTATGTCGGTGTTATGCTTAGAACTCTCAAAAGTCTTTGATTTATTAGAAGCAATACATCTTGTCTTATACGGCCAAGCTTATTAATCAATACAATAGATCCAGTTGTATTGCTTACAACACTTTCCTTAAATAAATTTGGGCAGAAAAAGAAAAAAACGTTGGTACAGAGTAACATGGGTCAATTCCATTTCACTGGTCCGCGTCAGCTGCACACAACCAATAATCTTTAATAAATTAAGCCAGGTTACAAGTGTAACATACTTCTCTCTACCACCAGGCATAATGTAAGAGCATTACACTGAAATATAACATCAGGACGGTGAGGTATCTGAAGCGTTACATTATATACATATATATATATATATATATATATATATATATAATTAACTGACAAATTATTCAGTTGAATTTTAAATTTTCCCGTCGACTGATTGGACCAAAGTGCTCGGTCTCAGGTTGACATGTCGGCTTCTCCTTGTGCAGATGCTTCGATAATGTCTAGACATGTAATTACAATTTCATTGGTGGGTGGTGACTAGTAGTGGAATTCGAGATGAGACTGAGCAGTTCGGTCCAATCAATCGACGGAAAAATCTAAAATTCAATTAAATAATTAATATGACCCGTTGCACAAGAGGTGGCTCTCGTGTCCCAAGTGGTCTACTGGATAACCCTTTGGCGGTGAAAACTATGGGCACTGGGTTTCGAGCCTCGGTGGGAATATCATCACTCACAGCGGAATGCAGGTACATCCAGTTACGAGTCCCGAATAGGATGAAATGCGCATTGTCATGGATTCCACTGCTAATCACCATCCACCAAATAAATTCTGACAAATTTGTTGTTCGGGTGGCAATCAAAATTAGCAACAGTCACGTAGTTAGATAAGAGAAGAATAAAATTTGGTGTGCAAGGGATCAATTGAAGAGGTGATAGCCTAACGTCGTGAGTACAGCTCAAAAGGTCAGATTCTTCGAACATGTACCAGCCAGTTAGAGAGAGTGAGCAGTTCAAGCTTTGATCATCAAACGCCTAACAGACACATGATACCTAGTAGACAGAATAGGATCATTCATTCATTCTTCTTTGTTTTACTGAGACAATCACAATAAAACGGTTGAAACCTAACTTATGTGTCTAAAAGACATCCGTAGCTGAATTTCAGTTACCCTGTTAACTTATCCCTGTAGTTACTCTTTCTTTTCTAATTTCACTCCATTCATTTTTTAACCACCACGTCTTTGCCATTTGACCATCATAACCGATAATTCTTCTCGACTTTTTCAGCTCTACTCACTGTACAACATCATAATTATCTTTTTATTTGACCCCTTGAACACCGAAATTTGACCTCCCTTTATCTAATCACGTGATTGTTACTAATTTTAGTAACCAACCCAACAACTGACTCTTCGAGAAACGCTTCTCTGAAAAGATATATATATATATATGAGTCTTCAGAAACCTCATCATTCCGATGTTTCATTTCACTTTGACGCTCTTACATTATAATTTTTAAAGATTATTGGTTGTATGCAGCTGATAAGAACCAGCGAAAATGACATTGACCCATGTTATTCCGCACTAATGTTCGTTTTTTTCTTCTCAAACTTATTTGTGGTTATTCTGATGATCTCAACTAGACATTGTCATTCTTGCAGTTGTTCATCACTTTATGTAAGTGACACTCCATTCAAGCATAAAGTACTGTGGGGGATCTACCACACCCCTAGGCTTACTTTCACTTCTGACGAAAAACGTATTATCAGCCGACAGTCTTCCTTAAAGCGTTTATTCAATGGCATCATCCTCTCTTCGAAAACCGGAGTATTCCCGATTCCATCTCAGTGCAATGGGAGAGTTTTTTTAAGGAGATGAGTTGCTGGCTCTACACACAAACACACAAGCGCACACAATTACGCCCTGGCGTCTTTTCGGCGTTTAGGATCGCCTAATAAACTCGCCGAGGTCAAATGACAATTTTTGGAATACTCTGGAAATCTAGCCAATAGATTTGAATGATCTATTATCATTGAACAAACCTATGTAATTTATTCGTTCATTTAATGTTTGAAAATAATGTTTTTAACTGATTAAAAATGCCCAATAAAACTTTCGAAAGAATGGATACTGAACAAAGAGTACTCTTTTCGATAACTTCATCATCAGGCTATACAGTTATGTATACAATATAAAGAATGAATGAATTAGTCTTATGAACAACATTGATGTTGTTTAAATAACATCGAATCAATAAGATTGATAGATTACATCTGAATAGCATCAACATAAAATAAGATGAATGTCAGAAAAATTAGGAAAGAAAATATTACAAATTCATGAATTTATAGTCTATAATGAAGGCCGGCCGGACTTGCTTTTTTTTGAACATAGAGCGCTAATTGTTTGAGGCGAATTGCAATAGCCTCTGCTGTTTGGAGCATGCGGTGCTTCGATATTTTTGGCAATTTTTTTGACACCCGGTAGATGATAGAGAAGTGGCTTTGTGGCAGGCCGGTTTGCACCAGATGGTTCAATAACGAACCTTTACTTAGCCATACTGGGAGATGTTCTCGAGGGAGCATGAATAATCAAAATCTTAGTGCAACGGTCAATACAACTCGTTCATCCACAAGCACAACTGAATTGGTAGATACAATTGGAAGTGGCTAGTCTAGTCTAGTTACTTCACCTTTCAGTCGAGGAATCAACATTGGTCGTTTAGAGAATAAGGCGTGTAGTTCGCCAGCATTAAAAGTTCTTTGAACTGATTTTCTGAATTTCTTCGTAATTATTTCACTTGGTATATCGCGCTTGAATTGCAGTCGTATATAAAGTAGCTTCTTGTTTACAGATAGTGAGTAGTCCTTTTTCCACTTTCTTTGTCCTGTGTTTCTTGATAAATTTTTCGGGATAGCTATTTTCGATCAAAGTATCATATACAATACCTTAAGCATCTTCAATTACTTCTTTTGGGCTTGAAATTCACTAATCATCATAGAAAAGATATTGTTTTTCTTCTAATAATTAGTGTGATAAAGGCTTTACATGGGTGTAACGATGCTGACAAAACGTGATCAAAAACCCTAAAATAAATAATCAGAATAAAAGAATATTTTATAGTCTTTCATCCTATGAATTTGCTTTTTTGAGCATATACACATTTACGTATATATTAGTTTCCTCACTGAATTTCATTCAACCTATTTATATGATATAAAGATGATAGAGCAATTGAACATTTTATGCGATTAACAAGTAGGTCAACCTCACACCTAAAATTAAGACTTTAGCATTATGGTAAAGTTTACTTAATTATAAATCATCGAATTAATTTAATTATTGTGAATACGGTGAATAAATCATTGACGAGGAGATTATTGTGTACTTTATCAAACAAGATGGTTGTACAATAGAACTAGCCTTATATTCAGTTGATTATATTTTGTGGTACAAATCTAAATCTATTAAGATTACTTGTGTGGATCATTTACGGTCAGTGTTTATCGAAGTTAGACTTTGACACCTAATGTAAATAAGTTAATTGAGATTTTACGACAAACGTCATTGAGCTCATCGTTGACCGTTTAGACTGAGGGTCTAAAACCTAAGGAAAGTTTATTAAACATATCACACAGTGAAACAGTATTATTCACTGTATGACAAGCTACCGAACAAAACTCATTACCGTTCATAGCCACTTCATCAAGGCGTAACTACACAACTTCGAAACCTCCTGCTTATAGTTCGCTTTATTCCCTCCTACTCGTCATCGTAGGGGCAGTAGAAATTTCTAGATGTCCATCTGGACAGGTACTGAATCATTCCTATTACACGTACTTTTAGTTGATTAGATAAATGAAGCCTTTACCATCAATCTCTTCCTCCAGCCTGTCATATTAGACCTGAGGACTGACATGATGTTCCATCCTACTGTGTGGTTGTATGTAATTGCATGTAGCACGAAAGTTGGGTTTTTTTATGAAGTTCTAAACATATTAGAGTCAACTAATAATAATAATAAATATTAGTGGCGATATGCACGACATACATGCACAGAATGATGATAACACCAACAATAAGGAATTTAAGTCATCAGTAGTATTTCCATGCAAAGAAAGAACATCAGAAATCTCTCAAAATAGCAGGAATAAAAGTGACACTCATACTCACACATTCATTTTGAAACAAATTAAATATGTCGAATCCTGTAGAGTACGTTAAACAAAACAATTCTGTCTATCTAATACCCTCCTGGAATGATTGTCAGGTCAAATAAACTCGTCAGAGTAGTAAAACAGAGTCAGTCAGATCAGTGAAGTACAAAAACTGACCCCAATAACATAAGAAATCTGGAGAATAGCTCAGCTATAGCACTACGTTCAATTACATGCAACCAAATAGTAGGATGGAACAACATGACAGTCCTCAAGTCTTATATAACAGGGTGGAGGGAGAGATTGATAACAACGGAAGATTTGTTTATCCAGTCAGTTGAAAATACGTGTAATAGGAATGATTCAACACCTGTCCAGCTGGACATCTAGCAAATTCTACTGCTTCCACGACGACGAATGGGAGGAAACAAAGAGAACTATAAGCAGGAGGTTTTGAAGTTGTGTAGTTACACCTTGATGAAGTGACTATGAACGGTAATTAATTGTGTTCGGGAGCTTGTCATCAAGTAAATAACACTGTTTCACTGTGTGATATGTTCTATAAAGAAATTAATTTAGAATTATATACTAATACAATGCCGACATTTTACGGGTATATTAATTTAAGGATATTATAGTCCTCTATGTTCCCAGTGGAATAAGGGTCTT